AATTCTTCCCTCTGTTGACTGGAGAATTGATAAGCTGGTTTATATATAAAGGCTCATTTGCAAATACTTGTATCTAAATAATGCACATTTAATATTTTAGAAAATGTGTTTTTCTAAAAAAATTATAACTCAAAGACCAAAATCTGAAGCTGATTGCACTGTTTTTAGGAATCCAGGGATAAAGGGGTTATAAAAAGAGCATTTATATTGGACTAGTCAAATGAGATTTTATTTTATTTTGAAAGAGTTTTAATGAGATATTTCTTTTACTGAGAAAAGCTGTCCTTGGGTTAATACAAACTGCTATTTTCATATGTTTTAATTATATTTTGTAAGTGTAGGGTCTTGGGAGAGACTTCAGGTATAATATGGGTATTGAAGGTAGAAAGAAATGCTGATTGTCTGCCCATGCATTGGGCACAGGACACGCAGATGGTGCACTGGTAGCCCTTGCAGAGGTAGCATGGGCCTGACTGGTCCTGGGAAGCCTTATGTGGCCTGCATAGGTGGTCCTCCTGTCCTGAGTGGGCATCTTGGGGGTCCTGGGACCCACCTTAGAGTAGGGAGCAGAGGCAGTACCCTCAGGGACTCCTCCTCCAAGGTGCCCATACAGGGTAGCAGGGATGACTAGTCCATACTAATGAGGAACCCCTAGCAAAGCTTCCTGGCAGGTACCACAGAACTCTGCCCATGGCCATAATGCTATGGTCCACAGGGAACTCATGAGACTGTTTTATACTGGCAAAGTTGGGATTCATGATAGGGCTTTTAACACTTACACTACATCATATGATTTGGGGAAATTGTACAAATATCTATTTTTATACCACTATTTTGGGCTAAAAAAAAAACAAACCAGGATTGTGAGTTGAAGATAAGCTTTAACAAGTGGCTTTTGTGACTAAGAAGGAAAAAGTGCATATATTCACATATATTCATATATGCATTGGCTCCTACATGGTCTAGTTCAGTACCCTCCGATAGAATTTTCTATAGTGATGGAAATGTTCTGTATCTGTGCCGTTCAAATGTAGTGACCACCAGACACATGTGCTTTTTGACTACTGAACAATGGTGTTACTGAAGAACTTTTAATTAATTAAGGATTTTTAATTAAATTTAAATTTAGTGGGGACCCCTGGGTGGCTCAGCAGTTTAGCATCTGCCTTCGGCCCAGGGCATCTGGAGTCCCAGGATTGAGTCCCACATCGGGGTCCCTGCATGGAGCCTGCTTCTCCCTCTGCCTGTGTCTCTGCCTCTCTCCCTCTTTGTGTCTCTCATGAATAAATAAATAAAAAATTTAATTTAGATTGCCACAGGTGGCTGCCATATTGGACACACAATTCTAGCCAGTTGGGTTTTGGAAAGAAATGAAGGGTGATTTTTATCTTCTCTTATCTGAGGAATAGTCTGTCCCCAGAACTGCCACTATTGACACCCTCTATATTTTGTCTTGATAGATTTAATCATAATTTCAAGTGTTTTATCCTCAACAGATGCAAAACAGGCAGAGCATTCTAAAACCATATGGTAATACTTCAGCGGAGGATTGCCTCAAGTTAAAAACAAACTGAGAAGTAGGTTAAGAGATGAAAAGAGTAGGAAAACGAGAAATCACTTCATTAGAACCTCAAACAATTGTATTCTTCTTTTTAACTCTTCAAAAATAGAACTGAAATTTATTGGTTGTACTACTTGAATGATTTTGACACTTTATTTCATGCTAGGTCTATATTATATACAGCCAAATTGGAAATAAATCTTAAAAGGGGGCAAGTAGGGGCTTTCACACAAATTGTCCATAACTTATGTAAAATTTGTTTCAATAAAACCAGTCTTTTATGCAAAAACCTTGTGTTGGTGTTACATATAAACAAAGGAAAAGTATTGCACCATAATTATCTCATGTTACATAATATTCCGTACCAATTATAGTGTTTGAATGTGATGTTTGTAGAGATACTATTTAGTTCATTCAAATAAATGCAAAAATGGAGCAAGATTATAATGTAGAATGTGCATCTTAGTGGAAATATGGAGATTTGAAAATTTTATGTGCTGCATATGAACTGATTCATAATTTGGAAAAGGAATTTTCATAATGAGATATAGGTTTGGTTATATGGTCTCATTCATTTGGGGAATATAAAAAATAGTGAAAGGTAATAAAGGGAAAGGAGTGAAAATGAATGAAAATATCACTGAGGGTGACAAAACATGAGAGACACTTAACTGTGGGAAATGAACAAGGGGTAGTGGAAGGGGAGGTGGGCGGGGGGTTGGGGTGACTGGGGATGGGCACTGAGGGGGGCACTTGGCAGATGAGCACTGGGTGTTATGCTATATGTTGGCAAATTGAACTCCAATAAAAAAATGTTTTAAAAAAGAGATATGATTGGGCATTAAAGCAATATGAATAAAAGAATAAAATGTAATTCCAAGAATAAAAATGTTCTGGTTCCAAAAACTTATTATTATACCCGTTTTTCAGACGTTGGATATTAAGGGGCAAAGACACTTAGGTAAAATCATCGAGTAGTGCATTTTAATTACCACCAAGGACCACACACATTTCTTGACTCAAGTTTTCTAGAATGACCATTAGGCATGCTTGCCAAATACCAGGTTAGGGTCACTTAATGATGATGGCAAACGATAAACTCCAGACATCAATTACTGCCTTTCCTTCTCTGTGTCCCTTTCTTCCCTCCTCAACATGTCTCTTGAGTCTCTCACTACTCCTGAGTGGGAAAGAAGTGTACTTTGAGGTGTTGTGTTGTGGTGGGTGTAAGTTTATGTGATTCTCATTTCCTTTGTCCTAGAGCTGGTCTGTTCCTGATTCATAGCGACAACACTTTGCCTAGCTTCTCCCAACCTACTTGTCTGTAGCAGTATGTGCTATCAGAGAAACTTTAATAATGTAATAACATTTCTTGGCATCTTAAAGGACTTTCCAATTCTTTCTTGAAATTAAATTTCTTGGGCAGCCCGGGTGGCTCAGCGGTTTAGCACCGCCTTTGGCCCAGAGTGTGATCCTGGAGACCTGGGATCGAGTCCCACATTGAGCTCCCTGCATGGAGCCTGCTTCTCCTTCTGCCTGTGTCTCTGTCTCTCTCTCTCATGAATAAATAAATCTATAAAAAAATTAATTTTTTAAAAGATTTTATGTATTTATTCATGAGAGACTCAGAGAAAGAGAGGCAGAGACATAGGTAGAGGGAGAAGTAGGCACCCTGTGGAGAGCCCAGTGCAGGACTGGATCCCAGGACTCAGGGATCACGACCTGAGCTGAAGGCATATGCTCAACCACTGAGCTACCCAGGCTCCTAAAATTAACGTTCTTGAGGCTAGTCTTCATTGAGCTCACAAATCATTCAACTTTCACTTGCCTTAATGTCCCAATGATCTAAATTCCATTTTCTCGTTTATTTTTCTTATTGACATACACCAAATCATTCCACCCATCCCTGCCTCTCTTTGAATACTGTAGAGTCTGTCTGGAGATATTGGCAAATGTTTCACATCTCCCCGTAATCTGCCTTTATTGTGGAAAAGTGTACACATGCACACATGCACGTAAGCACATTCTCATCTCTTCTGGAAGCTGATCAGCCCTGGGACTCGGATCCAGAATTGCAAGGCTAGCTCTTTTACTAACACACTGCATAATTTTGGGAAAATCATTTCAGCTTTTACCCACCTATAAAAAGTAGTTGGAGAAGATGATTTCTAAGGTTGATTCCATCTTTAACATTATATGACTTGCCTTCCACTAAGAACCCCTTTTTAGGGGCAGCCTGGGTGGCTCAGTGATTTAGCGCTGCCTTCAGCCCGGGGTGTGATCCTGGAGATCCGGATCGAGTCCCGAGTCGAGCTCCCTGCATGGAGCCTGCTTCTCCCTCTGCCTGTGTCTCTGCCTCTCTCTCTCTCTCTCTCTCTCTCTCTCTCTGTGAGTGTGTGTGTCTCCCATGAATAAATAAATAAAATCTTAAAAAAAGACCCCCTTTTTATATTAACAACTCAGCATGTCCTCCCTACTTCACTGGTCACTCAGCTTCCAGCTACGTCTAGGCTGCTGGGCACACTTGTTTCTCTTACATGCTTTTTCCTTAGGCATGTATTTGTAACTATCTTGTTCACTATTACATTTGAAGTTTCTGGCGTTTGCCGAATAGATATGCAGACTATGCCCAAATATTTGAAAACAAATAGCAAGTCTGTGAAGAATTTACCCATGCATTTCTGTTGTGTTCCCAATACTTCTATCTGTGCTGAGATCTACAAATACTATTTCTGCTATTGCCTTAAAATAGTAAACATACATCATAAGAATTGCATTTTCTAGAAATCCAAATCAAAGGTACAGTGTGATATCACCTTACACCCTTTGGCACAGCTATTATAAAAGAATTAAACAAAATCATTATTGGCGAGGAAATGGAGAAATTGGAACCCTTGTCCCTGTTGGTGGAAATGTAAGATGATGCAATTGCTATGGAAGATAGCATGGCCAATCTGCCAAAACTTAAAAGTAGAATTACTATATGATCCAGCAGTTCCACTTCTGAGTATGTTGAAAGCAGGGTCTCAAAGAGCTATTGGTATACCCATATTCCTAGCAGCACTACTCACAATAGCCAAGAGGTGGAAGCCATCCAGATGTCTGAAGATGGATAAACAAAATGTGGTATATATATATACCATGGAATGTTATTCAGCCTTAAAAAGGAAGGAAATCCAATCACATGCCACAATATGAATGAAACTTGAAGACTTTATGCTAAGTGAAATAAACTAGTGACAGGAGGACAAATACCGTATGACTCCACTTACATGAGGTCCTCAGGGTAGTCCTGAGGAATGGTGGTTAGTAGGGACAAAGGAGGGAGAAACCACAAATCGTTGTTTAACGGGTATAGAGTTTCAGTTCTGAAAATGAAAAAGTCAGTGAAAAGTCCATGAGAAACAGGTGCATTCCAGAGGGGTGTATATTTCTTTAATTACGCATCGTATCACACCACCATTCTATTAGTACACTAACCTACATTATACACCATGCAGCGAGAAATAGTAAAGTACAAAGAAACATGAAATAGAATTTGAAGCTTATCTCCCCAACCTGGGTGGATGGTCCTGCCGCAGCCCTGAGCTGTGTGGACCCTGTGGTGGAGAACACTGCTTCGAGACCCAGATTTTCAGCCTAATGAAAACCATGCCAAGTGCCTCCATGGGCTGATGTCATAGAGTCTGTGCAAGCTTCTCAGGGGAAAGAACATCCACAGGTCTCATGAGATTTCCAAGTGGTTCTGTGAGCATAAAGGCTTTAGTCTCAGTTCTCCAGAGAATGAGCAGAATTTCAGTGTTTTTCACACAAAATTTAATTGAGGTGAAATTAACACCAACCATTAAAAAATCACACGAAACCAAACACCTTAAAATGAACAATTCAATGGCATTTACTGCATGCCCAGTGTTGTATGACCCCTCCCTCCGTCTTGTGCCAGACATCATCATCACCATCCACCCTTGGCCCCCCAAAAGGCCCGTACAGATTAATCCCCTTTGCTGAAGAAGCCCCTGGCCACCACCAAGTCTACTACCTGTCTCTGGATGTACCTGTTCTGGATATTTCCTATCAGTGGGATCATATTGCATGACTTTGAACTTGGCATCATGTTGAGGTCCACTGAATGGTTTCTACGATAATCACCACTACAATGATCAGAAGGAGAAAACAGTAGCAAGCATTCAAATTCCTGTACCTGGGATTCTGGGGTATGTGAGAATAAAGCACCTCACTTGAGGTGCTGACCTGGGCTCTCCTCTCCATGCCATAGTGGGTGTTTGCTCTCGGGCTCCAGTGGGTGGGGAGGATCGCATTCTGTGTGGGCCCAGAACACCAGGGTCGGGGTAAAGCCTTACTCTTGTTGGCCCCAGCGTTCCCCTTCACGGCGTCCATGGTGGTGCCACTCCTTATGGGAGAGGGCATGGGAATGTCTGTCTCAAGAGCAGGTGAGCTTATGGTGGGAGGTGTCAGCGACACTGGTGACTGCATGGCCTCACGTAACCCACCCTGAGCACAATAGCCCTGCAGACACGCCTCGCAGTTGTTCTTGTCGTGTGGCCCTTCAAGAGTGATTTCCTTGATCACGGGAATCTCTTCCATTGACTTAAATCCTTCTCTGTAGCATTTCTTCAGGATTCGGAACACCAGGTTGTTCAGGATCCTTGAGATGTTCTCTTTTGTGAACTCGGGAAACTCAAATGGAGACTGATCGCAGTTCCGACATCTCTGGGCAAAGACTCTCATCTTCACTTTGCCCCTGGGCTTCCCCTCACTCTTGTGCATGTGGAAAAGGACATGCACTTGAGCAGAGGCCCAACTTCGAGAGCACAAGGAGCATTGGAACCTGCAAGAACAAAAGACAAGAACCTCAGCTTGCCCTGGAGTGGCCAGGTTGTGGGCTGGGCCACAGGGAGGAAGGGGAACCCAAGGACACAGAGATGCGACTTGACTGGGATCAAGGTTAGTTGGGGGAGAAATTAGCGAGCCCCTTTCTCCTGTCTCTACTGTGCCACCAACATGTCCTGTCACCCACAAGTGTCTGTCACAAAGATAGCAGATCATGGGGCACTTGGGTGGCACAGTGGTTGAGCATATATGTCTCTGGCTCAGGTCATGATCCTGGGATCCTGGGATCTAGTCTTGCATTGGGGTCCCTGAGAGAAGCCTGCTTCTCCCTCTGCCTATGTCTCTGCCTCTCTCTGTGTGTCGCTCATTAATAAATAAATTTTTTTTGAAAAAAAAAAAGATAGCAGATCACAAGCTGTTGGGGCTGGAAGAGACTTTCTAAGTCTGACATGACAGTGCTACAGATGACACATACTCTGGAGCCTATCATATGCAGAAACTCTGTGGGTGTCAGGAGTAGGACTGGAGACTTAGAGCCCATCCGGAGGCGGTGCGGAGCACTTGGGTACTCTGCGGCTCGGGAGCCCGTGCCTTCTGTGAGGCTGCGGCAGAGCCTCTATACAGAAGGCGCCAGAGGTTGGCAGCTTCGATTGAAGCCCGTCGAGCGGCGACAGCATCTAGGAGTCATGAGCGACAGCGGCGAGCAGAACTACGGCGAGCGGGAATCCTGCTCTGCTTCCAGAAGTGGAAGTGCTCATGGATCTGGGAAATCTGCAAGGCATACCCCTGCAAGATCTCGCTCCAAGGAAGATTCCAGGCATTCCAGATCAAAGTCCAGGTCCAGACCTGAATCTAGGTCTAGGTCCAGAAGAAGTTCTCGGAGGCATTATACCAGATCAAGACCTCAGTCCCGCTCCCAGCTCCCATAGATGATCCCGTAGCAGGTCTTACAGTCAAGATTCTGGAAGACGGCATAGCCACAGTCACTCTCCCATGTCTACTCACAGGCGTCATGTTGGGAATCGGGCAAATCCCGACCCCAACTGCTATTGTGGAGTATTTGGATTGAGCTTGTACACTACAGAAAGAGATCTAAGAGAAGTGTTCTCTAAATGTGGCCCCATTGCTGATGTGTCTATTGTATATGACCAGCAATCTAGGCATTCCAGAGGATTTGCCTTTGTATATTCTGAAAATGTAGACGATGCCAAGGAAGCAAAAGAGCGTGCCAATGGAATGGAGCTTGATGGACCTGGGATCCGAGTTGATTTCTCTATAACAAAAAGACCACATAACCCAACACCAGAAATTTACATGGGGAGACCTACCTATGGCAGCTCACACCGTGAGGATTACTGTGACAGAGGATATGATCGAGGCTATGATGATCGTGACTACTATAGTAGATCATACAGAGGAGGTGGTGGAGGAGGAGGAGGATGGAGAACTGCTCAAGATAGGGATCATATTTACAGAAGGCGGTCACCTTCTCCTTACTATAGTCGTGGAGGATACAGATCGCGTTCTAGATCTCGATCATACTCACCTCGTCACTATTAAAGCATGAAGATGAAGACTTTCTGAAACCTACCCTAAAGTTGGGATATTGTTTGTGGACAATATTTTTTATTGTCTCCTGTTTAAAAAGTGAACAGTGCCTAGTGAAGTTAGGTGACTTTTACACCTTTTATGATGACTACTTTTGGTGGAGTTGAAATGCTGTTTTCATTCTGCATTTGTGTAGTTCGGTGCTTTGTTCAAAGTTAAGTGTTTTCAGAAAAGTATGTTTCGCATGTATTTTTTTACAGTCTAAATTTTGACTGCTGAGAAGTTTCTATTGTACAAAACTTCATTTAAAAGGTTTTTTCTACTGAATCCAGGGTATTCTGAAGATCGAAGCCTGTGTGTAAAAATGTTACCAAATGGTAAAAAGCAACAATAAAGTTTGGTTTTTACTTTTCTTTCTAACAAAAAAAAAAAAAAAGAGTAGGACTGGATCTCCAGTCTCCTGACCTCAAACCAGGAGTTCTTCAAATGTAGACTGAAGTGGGTCAGAGGCTATAGGTGCAACAGGAGCCGTTAAGTCAGCCCAAGAGCCCCGAACTGAAATCCACGATGGTACAAGGGATGTTGTGAAGGGCTACTATCTGAATGTTTGTGTCTCCCTCATATTCACATGTTGGAATCCTAGCTCCGAGAGGTGATGATGCTAGAAGGCCATTGGGATGTGATTAGGTCATGAGGGTGGGGCCTATGTGAATGCGATTAGTGCTTTTTATCAAAGAGATCCCATAGAGCTCCTTCCACCATGTGAGGATACACGAGAAGTTCACCACCCAGAAGAGGGCTCTCACCAGACCAGCTGGCACCCTAATCTTGGACTTCCAGCCTCTAGAACTGTAAGCAATACATTTCTGCTGTGTATAAGCTGCCCAGTCTGGTGTTCTTTTATTTTATTTTTAATATTATCTTATCTCATCTCATCTTATTTTATAGTTGCCCAAACAGACTGAGAGAGTAAGTTGTAGATCCACAGATCAGGGAGGGTCTAGTGTCCTAGAAAAATCATTGCTCTGCCTTGTTGCCCAGAGCATCTTGACCCCCATCTGCCAGTATTATGGGGAGATCACAGGGCCCCGCTCTCTCTCCTTTTGCCCCTCCTCCAGCCCAATTCATATTCATATTCTGGAAAGCTCCATATTCTGTGTGTACCTGGCTTCAGGGTACAAGAGAATGACACTTCATCTCTGCAGGGAAGAGGGCCGTTTTCCTGATCCCATATATTTGGACAAATACATGTCAGGATAGATGAAGAGAGGGGAAGAAGGCAGGCAAGCATATGGTTGCACTCAGGACAAGAATTATGGGAGAGGCAGAAGCTATAGTACAGCAGGGACATTTCATGCTCATCAAATTATCCATGCACTCCCGTCTGCTTCCCAGCCCCCTCGCAGTGAGGTTGGGCAATATGACTGGTTGCCCAATGGGATGTGGGCAGTGACATGTGCTATTTCCAAGTCTGACACAGAAGCTCTTGGAAAACCCTCCAGGTCCTCTTCCTCTGCTTCGGTGACCTGGGGATGACGTGTTAGGTCAAATCACTGATATTCTGAGGTGTATCTGTTAGAGCAGGCAAGCCTAGCTTAAACTGGGAGGGTGAATTGGAAGGGGCTGGGAAGAATGAGCCAGTCAAGGTTTCCTTCTTGTCTCTTGATTCCAGCTGCACTGGACAGGGTGAGTATGGCCATGACATGAAGGGAAGAGGCCAAGAGGCTGTGACCCCACAAGTGAGATGACCTTCCTGGGGTCATTCAGAGTCAGTGGTGCACAGGGGCCTGGGCTCTGCCCTCCCAGGCTGCCATCCCCAGCCTTCCCTCTGGGTCATGCTGCTCTGTTCATGTGCCATCTCAGAGTTCAAGGTTCTCTCTCCCTCTCTCTCTCTCTCTCTCTCTCTCTCACTCTCTCTCTCTCACACACACACACACACACACACACACACAAATGAGCTGAGATTTTACTTGGAAGCTCCTGGTGACACCACAAGGAGAGGAAAACTCTGCTTCCTCTGCCCAAATCCTCCTCCAGAGAAGAGGGCAGTGGGCAGGCACCAAGCCCCTACCCCAGTCCCAGGAGAGTCTCAGGTCACCACCCTCTGTGTGGGGCGTGATGGGGGGGAGCCCCACCCCCTAACCTTTGGAGCTTTGCTTTCCCACCTGGAAAAAAAGGTAAAGCTTTGGATGACTTCCAAGGATCTTAGTTTAAAAAGGTCCATCAGCCCAGAGTGGAGGGGGCAAGATTGCTGCACGTTGCTCAACTACCCTATTCTCTGCCCTATCCTGGAGGGAACTCCTCAGCCTATGGGACCTCTCCCTCTTGGGCACCACAGTGAGCTTCAGGTCCTCTGAGGCCAGGAGCATAGGCAGGGAACTTTGCTAACCCAGCTTTCCTGCAGCTCCTCCCCTCCCTCTTCCTCACTGCTCTCCCTCAGCCCCATGCAGCCCACATTCAGTGCCAAGTCCTGCTGTTTGGGGTTCCCTGTCATAAGGAAAAAAAAAAAACCTTTACTGAAGCTAAAGCTTCTTGGATGATGAGCAGCTCACTTCCTGTAGTCTTCAATTTGCAAACATGGAATAGAACAAGAAAAGAAGCAAGTATACACAGTAACAAATAAACAAGAACTTTCTGGAATATGTACCATCCCATTCCCCACTCACCTGGCAAAGCCCCACTGCTGGTATTGTGACCACCCCAGCTTCAGGTTGTTGGGAAGAAGGTCTTTGTCTACTCTCAGGGTCCATTTGTGCCATGGCTTCACTTCCTGAATTAATTCCTGGAATATTTGCTTCCATACCTCCATGTCCTGATCCATTGCATGCTATGTGGTGAGCTGGGTGCATCCAGATCTCCAGGACTCTGACAGGTCTGTAGCAGGACAAGAGATTTCCCACTTTAAAGAACGAGGGCTAGGGCCTGCTCTTCGTTTCTGTACCTGACCTGGGCCGATGGAGCAGGTCTTTGCCTCAAGGACAAAGGTCAGTTTAATTTGGCTCCCAGTTCAGAGAACAGCATTAGTTTCCACAGAGACTTTTCAAAGACACACAATGCATGGTTTCATCCAACAAAACATTCCCAAAGGAAGGCTCTGGACTCTGTATTGGGAGGAGTGGATCTCAGTTTGACTCTGCTGATTACCTGCCTTTAACCTGGAGATACATCCTTTACTTCTGAAGCCTCTGGAAATGGTGGAGAGAGGTTGCAGGTGCTCTTTCTGTTCTAACACTTGGAAGTCCTTATCCATTGGGCTGCTGGGCTTGTGACCGGGGAGGAGAGATGCAAAGAAGAAGGACATGGCCATCATGGGCTCTCCCCGTTCCGTGTATATCTGCTCTGGGCTCTCTGCTTCCTGTTTCCACTGGTCTCTGCATGACTGGATCTCATAGCCCCCAAGCTGCCCAAGGAGACTCTCGAGTCTCATCTTCTACTCATCAGAAACCAAAGCTGAGGGGCAGCTGGGTGGCTTAGTCAGTTGAACATCTGCCTTCAGAGCAGCTCATGATCCCAGAGTCCTGGAATTGAGCCCTGTATCAGGCTCCCTGCTTGGTGGAGAGTCTGCTTCTTCCTCTCCTTCTGCTCCTCCCCCTGCTTGTGCTCTCTCTCTCTTAAATAAATATGTAAAGAAATAAAATATTAAAAAAAGAGAGAGAGGGAAACCAAAGCTGATGTAGCCCGTGTGCTCAGATGAGGCTGCAAGGTCCTCACAAAGGGCCACTGGCTGCCCCCCGACCCCACTTCCTTGAGGAGAGGCTGATAAAAGGAGAGAGGAGCAGGGGGCAGGAAACAGCCCAGGGAGGGCTGGCTATATTCTGCGTGTCTGCATGCCACCACCCCCTCAGCAGATAGCCTAACTCTGGTCTACGTCACTGACTCCCTCCCCAGAGGAAAGCCCCCTCTCAGTGGTGGGCCTAAGTTAACACACTTAACCAGTTGGTTAAGTGACCAACTCTTGATTCTGGCTCAGGTCATGATCTCAGGCTCAAGAGATCAAGCCCCGCATTGGGATCTGCCCTGGGTGTGGAGCATGCTTAAGATTCTCTCTCTCTCTCTCTCTCTCCCTGCTCCTCCCTACCTCTAAAAATTAATTAATTTATTAACATAGGCTAAATGTCTTCCTTCTAACTATCATGAGTAACATCATTTACCTGATCTGATCTACCAGAGAATTCTGGATTTCTCGAGTGGGGGCAGGGATGCCAACCAAGGCCCCGGAGAAAAAAAAGCACACGAGCTCAACAGGGCTGAAGATAGCTGGAGATCTGTATTCCTCAGACCGACCATGAAGTTCTCATTGAATTGATCTGGGCATCAGGTCTCTAAAATTTCCTCAAGCGATTCCAAGACCTGGTTATAATGGACACCACGCCGGGAGGCTGAGGGCAGGACAATGTGTATAGGTTCTGGTCAGCAATCACAGACCAAGAGCCAGAGGTGCCCCTCCCCTGCAGCACTGTGGTAAAATCAGCAAGGCTTACAGATGCTGTTTTGTGGGGAAGAGGTCCTAGGGCAGCCAGGTTGCATCCGCCGGCTGGGTCAGATCCTGGTGGTCTGAGTAGTGGGCTTCCAGAAGAGGGGAGGAGGCAGATGGGGTGGGAGAGAGGAAGTGGAGGGAGGAAAAGGAAAGGTTGGGGGGGTAGGGAGGGGTTTGCTAGAGCCTCTCTTGTCAACCTCCTTCCTGGCCTTCCTGCGGCTGCAGAGAAGATTTATAAAGGGAGTGAGGGGTCAGGGGACAGAATCGAGCTGAAAGTCTGAGGGTCTTCAGTCTGGGGCTCTGATAGTTGTGTGACAAAGGACAAGTCACTTCGAGATTTTTGAGGATGAAATGCCGTGTTCAATGCAGAAGGCTACTAGGCATGCCTGGCACCAGAAGAAAGCCAACACTTGTCCCTGAAGCTTGAAAAAAAGCAATTCCCAGGGCGTCACTTGGAACAGTGACTGTCATTGAAACGCCTCCACTCTGGAACTGGGTAGACAAACAAGCTCTCCTCACTGCCTCTTCCTGGCCAGGGTTCTCTTACTCCCTTCCTCCTGGGCAATGGCTAGGGTATGGCCCTCCTCACACCCAGCCTCTAACCCAAAGGCCATTCTCTTCGCAGCAGGATCAGACTCTTTTTTTTTTTTTAATTTTTTTTAATTTTTTATTTATGATAGGCACACAGTGAGAGAGAGGCAGAGACACAGGCAGAAGGAGAAGCAGGCTCCATGCACTGGGAGCCCGACATGGGATTCAATCCCAGGTCCCCAGGATCGCGCCCTGGGCCAAAGGCAGGTGCCAAACCACTGCACCACCCAGGGATCCCAAGGATCAGACTCTTGATGTGACTCTTTCTGAACATGGGCTGGGCCTTGGCTCTGCTGCTGGGAGGGGCCATGGCTGAAAGCTTGGGATAGGCCCAGCTGAGCTTGAGCAAGACAACACTCTGCCTTCTTGTCTCAGCTCTTGCACTGACAGCAAGTGTCCTTTTCACAGTCTATCTGTGCCACGTTAGTCAGATTGTTGTTTTTTGTTGGTGATTTCATGGTTTCAAATGGCTTCGAAGTCTAGTGCTTGGTCTAGCACCCCCAGTGGCGAGAAGGCTGAGATGTGCCTCCGGGAGAGAATGTGTGCTAGATAAGCTTCATTCAGGCACCAGTTCTAGTGCTGCCGCATGCAAGCTCAATGTTAATAAATTAACAATATTTACCACATAAGGTGTCTTTAAACAGAAACAACATAAGATTATGTATCGATCAGTTGACCGAGATGTTACTAGAGGCTGGCAGGAACTAAGTCTGTATTTCCCCAGGGAGTGATGGTTCGGTATTTGCTATTTCAGTGTTGTTGGCAACTTTATAGGAATATAACCCCCACAAATAAAGAGAAGGGGCTGCATTTACCTTTGCGTACCTAGTGGTTTGTTTTCCCTCCCACCCTTCCATGGGGAGAACTGGCTTGGTGAAATTAAGTCACTTCTGAGCCTGGCCCTCATCCATTAGCCAGTTTTTGTCCAGAAAGTTGCTAATGACTAGTGCAGTTAGCTCTACTATTAGACCCCACCGTATCTCCAGGCCCTCTGCCATCCCCTGCCTTGTCTGCAGCCCAGAGATCCAGGTATCACTCTTTTCCCAGTGAGGCTTCTGAACTGGTGGCTTGCTGAAAGTGCACCCCTCACTTTGGCTATAACTGATCGAACGCACCAGGAACTGTAAATCTGACCATTTCAGACAGCAGTTTCTTTTTACTGCAATGTACCAAATTGCCTGGAACCTGGGGAGTGGTGTATATATTCCAGGAAAGCAAGTCCACTCCATCCTCAGCTCAGTGCTTTTCAAGTCCTGTGCCAAAGACAGTCTGGCCACTTCTGGGAGTCTCTTATCATCGCTTTCCCCTGAGATACTCCTGGGTCTTTCCCCAAACAGTAGAGCATCTGCAGTCTCTGTGTCAATCCCATAGGAAATCATCTGTGTGACACCACAATGTGCCGACAGGCACCACTGGGAGCCTCAATCATTCATTCACTAGGTGGTTGGTGAAAGGACACCAGCAGACATCATTAGGATGTTCCTCCATTTATTCAAAAATATTAGTGTCAGTTTCTGTGTTCTAGATGCCAGGGATACAGTGGCAAATAAAGCAAAGACTGCTCTCACAGAGCTTATGTTTTACTCAGATGGGGAGATAGACAATGACCCAATAAACAAGCATATATGCCATGTCATATCGGGCAGCCACGAGTGCTATGGAGGAAAACAGCAGGGCAAGGGGATGGAGAGAGAAACAGCGTGGGTGGGGTGATGGTAGGGACAGCTGCTCTAAGTGGGAGGTTACAGAGGGCTGCCGCTTGAGATGACATTTGAACCATGATCTGTCTGAAGTGAAGGAATGGGCCAAGTATGTATGTCAGGGAGGCACATCCAGATCAGAGGGGACAGCCAGTGTAAAAGCCTTGAGATAGAAGTGGGCCTGGTATGTCTGTGGAGGAGGAGGGAAACCAGGGTGGCCAGAACCAAGTGAGCAGAAAAGGAATACATGAGGTTGGAGATGCAGCTGAGGGCTACAGGGCCTTGTAGGATTTTATGCCTAGAAGAGTGATAAGGTCTGATTTCACATGGTGATATCTATTGTCTGACCTGTCCACTCAGGCTCTCTGCTGTCTCTGCATTGAGCTAAAGGTGCAATGGGTTTGCCTAGTAGGTCAAAGACAAAGCAGACACACCACACCCATCAAGAGGCTGCTGCAGGAGGTCAGGGAACTATTGCAGAGGTGTAGGCCAGAGTGGTCATGGAGAAGATGACCAGAAGTTGTGTTTTCTGGATGTAATACCTATAAGAATGCTGATGATTTGGTTTGGGCATGTAAGAGAATGATGAGTCTAGAATGATTTTAAGATTTTTGGCTTGAAAAAAAAAAGATTTTTGGCTTGAGCCAGAACTTCAAAATTAAGTGGAAATATCATTTGTTGAGAGGTAGACATTGAAGGATTGGAACACATGGACGGGGGAAATCAGATGTTTGGTTTGGTGCATGCTAAGCTTGGGGTTCATATTAAAACACCCAGGTGGCAATATCAAGCTGGAGGTTGGATATATGAATCCCAGTACGGGAAGACTGAAGACACAAATGTGGGAGTCACTGGGGGTATAGATAATCTTCAAGCCATAGGAGTAGAAGAGGTTATCTCTGCAGTGAGTACTGATACAGAGAATGAAGAGGCCCCAGGGCTCAGTCCTGTGATGCTCCATTGTGTAGAGATTAGGAAAAGGAGGATGATCCAAGAAATGAGATGTCAAGTTTCTCAAGGAGGGTATAGCGGGTTGATTTGTGGACCTCCAAAAGATGTTCACCTATGAATATGACTGTATTTGGAAAAAGGGTCTTTGCAGCTATAATTATCTTGAGATGAGATCTGTTTTATAAGATTTAAAGGGTGTTTTTTTTTTAAATT